GTTAATTCCCAGTAAAATTCCAGTACTTTGAAGCAAAAAAAGAAAAGATGGTCACAAGAAGGGAAGGAAGGGAAGGAAGGGAAGGAGCAAAAAAATAAATCAAAAGGAAAAATTATTCTACAAGTCACCTTGGAGCATCTCAGTGGTCTCCTTGGAGCACATCAGAATAGACAATTGTCCTAGTGACATCAAAGGCTTTTGCCAGTAGATTGCCATTTAAAAAGGTGATAAGTTCAGGATTTCCAATCTTCTCATATAAAAAAAATTAAATACACAAATACGCTTTGGCTAGCCCAGACAAATAAGAAGCCTCAACATGAGTATGAATTTTACAGTATGACAAGTTAAAACTCTGAGGGGGCATATCCTGAAATCTTGATTGAGATCAGATTTAAATACAATCCCCCTAAGGTGTCTCTGAAATGGGAAGATCAGCCAACATCAAAAACCCTAAGATCCTCTAAACCAACAAAATTATGGAGAGAACAAAGTTAAGATCTGACCTGAACACACCAAGACACTGTTTCTTCCTCAGAAAGCAAACCATTCTACAGATCACAAGGTAATTTGGTGATAAATGAAATCCTAGAGAATACATGCTAGAAACCAGTAGCTTTGTAGGAAAAACCTGCATTTTCATTCAGTAATAGTATCTCCCACACATACACAGCCACGCTTGGACAGGGGAACTTCTCTTCCACAAACACAGCAGACATCCAAGTTATGCTGCTGGCAACAGATCAAAGCCAGTCACCTGAGATTTCATGTACAAGATTTTTCTCCTTATTTACTCCTGAAAAAAATAAGAAACTCAATTAACTGCACTCCTGAAAGATGAAAATTTCCAAAGCATTTCTGCAGCTGATACTTTCCATAAGTGTTTGCATACATTCCTGGACCTCAACCATAAAAATATGCAAATGAATAAGAAATGGGAGACAACATTGAAAACATGTAACTGTATCCTCCAGAATAGTGAGTTAATTTCTGGAAAATAATTCTCAGATGAGATATAAAAAAATCCATAAAAAGCAAAAGCTCACCAGCTAGCAAGAAAAGTACTTTTAAAAATGGATTACAACTGAGATTGTTCAAATTAAAAAAAAAAAAAAAAAAAAAACCAAAACCCAAACAAACAAACCACCAAAACAGACTAATAAAAGATGTTTGAAATTATCCTCATTATCTTCTTTTAGTCCAAAAGAGTTTTCAATAGATCTGAGGGACAAAACACTGAAAGAGAGCTTTCTTAATTTTACTATACAGTAAACTGAGGCTGAGGAGTTTGGGGTGTGGACACCATGATTAAAATTAAGATTAGACACTCATACTGAAAACAAATCATGTTAAAACACCTCATCATATAAAAATAATACAGCAGGTTTACACGGTTTCATTTAACAAAAGCAGGTAAAACCTCAAAGCAGAACAAAAACTAAATGCTAGTGTTAGAAATTTCCAATGGAAAATGTCCTATGACTGTCCATTGCTCCAATACTGTTTTCTAATACTAAAGAAATGGTCTCTGACTTAAGAACTACATCTTTCCTGATTGATGTTTACAATTATAATGTCATCCAAAGAATGATAACAATATAAAAGTTCTCATAATGAAGAGCACTAATAATATCACCATGTAGTGAGCAATATTTATGCTTAGTCCCTGTAGCTATGGAGCTAGGCTCATGAAAGTTTGATTCTTTAAATACATAAGATTTTCAGACTCCAGAACTGCTTTCACAAATTAGATCCCATACTTGTAAAAAGACACTTAATCCTCCCATTGCTTTCACTAAAAAATCCCAAATATCTCAGCATGCACAGTACTTGCTGAGACTGCTAAAGCACAAAATCTATTCATTCTTTTCCAATACAACAGTTGAGTTTATCTTCAGAGGGAAAATTTAGCAACACTGATTACTGTATTATATAATCCAATTCCTGCTTTTTGGGCTTTGGGTTTTGTTGTTGTTTTTTTAATATTTGACCTTCCTATGTCTCCTTTAAATATTAAGAACTAACATGTTTAGATACTCAAGTTTAGTCAGCAAAAGTGTGAGATGACATTTAAATGGTACCACGTTGCATTTTAGAGAAAGTAGCAAGTAATCATACTATTAGAAATAGCCACACTGCTTTTAAACCAAGCATTCCTCTTTATGCATACTAATAATTCTGTATAGCTTTTGCATTTAAGAACCATGCATAATTCTAACTCCATACTTATCATACTTAGAATTATATTCTGGCATCGATACATCCCAGAGCAGAAGAAACTGCTATATTTGAAAGGGCCATGGTATCATTCAAATCAAAGTACATACACAAACCAGACACACTTTCTCTCCAGTTAGCTGACTTACAGCAGATTTTTGTTTGTTTGTTGGGTTCTGTGAGGTTTTTTTTTTTTGTTTAGTACTATTCTAAACAATTCTGTCACATTTTAGCCAAATGTAGCACACTGTACCAAAACTGAGAGAGACTGAGCAAGAAACTGTTACCACATGAAAATGAAAAACTTGTCCGGTCGTAGCTCAGACCATTTAATTCTTCTGCTACAAGAAGTGCTACTGAAACAAGCAGTGTCACTCGGAAGCCCAGCTGAATAGATGGTATTAAATGTGTAATATTACACTGCCGCGACCTCGGAACGAGCGGGAGCCACCGCTTCCCCAGCACAATAGCAAGGTGCAGATCTGGATTTCCCACAGCACCTGACATCACAGGTGGCCAGCAGCTCCTAAGAAACCAGTTTTTCCTGGATCAAAGTGAGAATGTTAAAATATTAAGCAATGCAAATAATAGTGATTCAAACTCCTGACTCAACACCCCTAGTATGACACTCTACCATGGTACATTGACTACATTTTATTCACATATCTAGCACCAAAGAGAAATATACTATGGAAGTGACACCTTTCTTAGAAACATTCACAGCCATACTTCAGAGCTATTTAAATTCCTTCCAAAAGATTTAAACAAAGGAAAAAAGTGCCCATGATGACCAAGTTTTCTAGTGTGTCTAAAAGCTTAAATGAAAGACATAGCATCTATTCTGCTCTCCACAGGCAATACCTGTTACTCATGAGTAACACATAGAGGTATGCCTTGGAGCACTAAGCATCATAAAAACAAATTTTGTACTGTTAAACATACAAAAGACCTACAAAAGTATCTACTACTAGCTCTTACCCCAATAGGAAGACCAAAGGAAATCAGAATTTAAAATCCATCTGCAATGACACCTACTGTAAGGGAAAAGATTGATGACTCAGGCTCACATCTGCCCTTCATACTCCTCAAATTCTCTTACTGATCTCACAACACCACTAGGCTTACAAAAGCATCCTTGGAGTGGAAAGACATATAAGAAATCATACCAGCACACTTCTTTTGCAACATCAGTTTATAATTAATTTTTTTCATGGACTCAGCACCTGGTAACATTCCCTGCCAAATGAACTACTGAGCTACAGAAGAAGCCGCAACTTCTCAAGAAAGGCTGTTCTTTTAAGATTACCCTAAAAGTTGCGTGAGTTACAGGCAGGCCACTAATTCCCCATGTAATCGTCGCCTTTTAAACACCAGACAAAGGTCTACCTGCTACAGATTAACCTCCTCCGCAGCCCGAGCGCTCCGGGAACACACGCGATTAATGCTTCTCCTCCCGCCGGCCCTTTGACATTCAGGGGCGGCCG